ATATTCAATAAATTTATTTAAAGAAAAATATTTTATTTTTAATATTAAAATACACACAAACACAATGGAAATAACAATAAATATTCCAGATAATCTGGTAACCAATTATGTCGCAATAATTCTTTTAGTTTTCAGCCTATTATATTTAATGATACAACTAAAAAATGGGAACGAGACTAAAAAATTAAATGATTGGCTAATTAAAAATAAAGATTTAATAAAAGATAGAATAGATAATGGAAATAATTATGATAGTAAACAAAATAATAATAATAATAATAATTCAAATATCAGCAATAAAAATGATGATAATATGCTTTTTAAAAATAAAATTCATAACAATGACAATGACCACGACGATGATAACAAAAATAATAATAATAATAATAAAAATAATAAAAATAATAAAAATAATTTTAATGCAAGCGACACAAATAGTTTATTAATTAATAATATTAATAATAAAGAAATTGAGCAAAGTTATAACAATAACAATAAAAATAATAGCAATAACAATAACAATAACAATTACAATAACAATAATAGTTCAGAAACCATAGCAATTCCAATAATATCATTAAATAATAGCAGTAATATTAAAAACCCAAATATAAATAGTAGTGGATCATTTGATAAAAGTAGTTTAAAGTTATCACTTGAACAAATAAACAATAACAATAGCACAAATAGTTCAGAGGATGAACAAGTTCCCGCTTCACCAGTTTCAAATTCATTCTTATCACCATTAAATTTTACAACAGGAAAAAGAAAATCCCAAAAGAATCAGTTCTATTACGTTTCAACTTATTATTCAAGTTGTGACTTACCCAATAAAATTATGGATCAAAATGATTTAGATGACCCTTTAATAAATGAGGAAATTAAATCTAGCGAGCTTTTAAATAATGGTTTCAAATATAAAATCGAAAATAATTTAAATAGTAAAAATATTAATAATAAAAGTAATGATGAAAAAATAAATAATGATAATAAAAATGATAATAATGTTAATATTAATAATAATGACAATAATGATACAGACAGCGATAATAACAGTACAAGCAATAGTAATAAAAGTAATGATGACGAACATAATCAAAGTAGTGGTGATAACAAAAGCACAAGTGATGATAATATAGATTTAAATCAGAGTATCAATTTATTAAGCTCAGCAAATTTAAATAATAATAGTAGTAATCCAATAAGCAAATCGCTAAATAATTTTGGTAAAGAAGGTATGGAGAATACATTGCTATCACCAAATGAAACTTGTATTAAAAGATTAAAAAAGAAGAAATGTATTTTACCACAAGTTGTAAGTATTAACATATTTATTTTCTTTTAAAAAATCATATTAATTAAATATTTTTTTTACTTTTATTATATTAGTTACAATTAAAATGGAGAGTTAAACCAAAAAAAGTGTTAATTATAAAAAAATACAATGATGAAACTATTAACGAATTAATTCCAGGATTGGTTAGTTGGTTAAGGGATTTAGGTATTACAATCATTAAAGAGAGTGAAGATTCATGTGATGATCCATTAGCAGAGCCATTAACTCAAGTTGAAGATCCATATTCAATCGATTTTATTATTTCAATGGGTGGTGATGGAACTATACTTCACACTTCATCACTATTCAAAACTTATATACCACCAATTTTGTCTTTCAGTTTAGGTTCTTTAGGATTTTTAACAGCATTCGATTATTCACATCATAGAGAATACATTCAATCAGTTATCGATGGTAAATGCTTTGTATCTTATCGTCTTAGACTATCATGTACAGTGGTTAGCTCCGAAACTCAAGTTAAACATCGTTATCAAGTATTAAATGAAGTTACCATTGATAGAGGTACAAACCCATATCTTTCAAATTTAGAGTGCTGCTGCGATGGTAAATTAATCACAATAGTTCAAGCAGATGGCTTAATTATTGCAACTTCAACCGGTTCAACCGCTTATTCCTTATCAGCTGGTGGTTCTTTGGTTCATCCAACCATTCCTGCTATACTTATTACACCAATTTGCCCTCATACACTTTCCTTTAGACCTGTTATTTTGCCATCTACCTCTGAGTTGGTTATTCGTGTACCTGAAACTAGCAGATGTCCAGTTTGGGCCTCATTCGATGGTAAAAATCGTCAAGAGTTAAATAGAGGTGATTTCGTTATCATTAAAACATCAAGATGGGCTGTACCAGTTGTTTGTAAAACCGATGAAAGTAATGAGTGGTTTGAAAAATTGGCTCAAAATTTAAATTGGAATGTCAGAATGGTACAAAAATCTTTTAATCCACCAAATACATCAAGTAGTGATAGTGAAGGTTCAAGCAATGGCAGCACAAGTAGTTTATCAACTTTAAATAAATAATAATTATTATAATAATAACATGACATTAATAATCATTTAATAAATAGTTTTATTAAACTCTACTATTAGATTAATTATCATTAGTAGTGTTCATTATAAAATTCTTTTTTATTTTTTATTTAAAAATTAGTGATTAATCTTTTTTTTAAAAAAATTATCTTAAACTTTCAAAAAAAAAAATGCCCAAAAATTAAAGAAAAAAAAAAAGATTTTATAATTAATTTTGAAAGATAATAAAATGATATCAATACCATTATTTTTTTATTTTATTTATTTATATTTTTTTATACTATTAGCCACTCTTTATAAAGAGTATTTCCAGCTCTACCACGGGGAGGTTAGTATATTAGAGCCGAATGGTTAATTATGTATCCCACCACGCAGAATACATAATTAACCACCATATTGATAATAGAATGAAATGAAATGTAATGGGTGAATAAAAACAACTCTTTGTGAAAAAGATGGTGTTAATTGAGGTTAATCTATAATAGTATTCGTCATCTAATGGCCCTTGACCTGCATCTATACTAATCACGTTTTTCATTATATTTGTGCTTTAAATTATTAAACTCGTAATTGAATTTTATTGGATGATAAGGACTACTTCTTTTGAAGATTTAATATGATGAATAAAGTAATATTAATAAAAAAATTCATAAAAAAAAAATTTATTTAAAAACAAAAAATAAAAATTAAAATTAAATTAGTAAATTTAAATTGATTGATGTTTATTTTTAAATGGTGAAAATATGTGTTATTGTATTACTATGAATACAATATGATTAAAATGAGTGAAGTACATTATATACAGAAGAAAATTGGTGAAAATTTTAAAAAAATAAAATAAAATTTTATTTTTTAAATTTTATTAATTTAAAAAAAGCTATTTTTTCATATTTCCAAAATTATATCACTTTTGTAATAAAAAGTATAATGAAAGCTATCTGATATATATTTTTAATTAAAAATTTTTTAAATAATTTAATATATTTGTGCTAATTATTATTTGTAAAGAAGATTGATAAAAGCTATATAAAAAATATGTAGTAAAAATAAGATATTATTAAAAAGCTATATTAATTGTATAAACTATAGATAAAACAATATTAAAAAACAAATAGAACATTATTTTCATAAAAAATATAAAAAAAAATTAATAAAGAGAAATTGGAATAATGGAGCAACTTCAAAATAAAATTAACTAAATATAAAAAAAATAAACAATAAATAATAAAATAATCAAGTAAAATAATTATAATTGTTTTTAAACCTAATTATAAATACATAACTACAGCTCGAACCACATTTTTTTCATTTATATGCAAAAAATAAAAATTAAAAAGAAATAATAAAAAAGTGGTTCGAGGTGTAATTTATTCAATTGGAATTAAACTAAATAAAGATTAAAATTTATATTTAAATAATTAATTTACCCTTTTTTAAAAAAATCTTTTTTTACAATGTAATAGCTTACCTAGGTAATATGGATATCAATCGAGAGAGAATTTTATGAAATTTTTAAATCAAACATATAGATTTAATTAATATTTTAAATCTAAATTTTAAATAAAAAAACAAGGTAGAAATTATTATTTTAAATGAAATTTCAAATAATATTAATTATAACCATAATTATAAAGAAAATAAACAATTGTTTTTTTGTTTTATTTTTTTTTTTTTAATTGATAATTGTTTATAATTTTTTTTTAATTAATTTTTTAAAAAGAGTCTTTAAAAAAATTTTTTTTTTTTTTTAATTAAAAATTATAGCTTTACAACACACACATAATTTTTCAATTTTTCATTCATCAGATTTTTTTTTTTTTATAATAGCATCCATTTAATAATATTCGTTCACTTTTTACACACCTTTTTTTTTTATAAATAATATTTATCTTTTTTTTGTAAATATTTTTTTGTATATTTTTATATTTTTTTTTTTTGTACATTTTATTTGTAAATAATTTTTTTTGTAAATAAAATGTATGAATTTTTAAACTTGTGTGTTTATTTATTTTTTGTTGGTACCATCTGTTGGAAGTTACCATCTTTTATTGGTAAATTCAGATTCAAAAACACCAAAAGAAACAACATAGAAAAAGATGACTGCCAATGTTGGAACAGTGAAGACAAGTACTGGGCAAGTCAGGTACTCCAACAACAAGAACAAATCATTCAAATCCAACAAACCCAACTATACGAACCACAAGAATTCTTCCAACACCTCCAAAGCCTCAAAAAACCCCAGCTATTCCATCTTTACCAAGAAGAAGAACACCCCCAACAACCTCAACAACCTCAACAAAACCAAGAACAAGGACACCAAAAACTCATATCTATGCAACCAAAAGAACCAGAAAAACCACAGCAATTACAACCACAGCAATCCCAACAACCAATTCCACCAAGACCAATCCCATTCATCCAGCTAATTCGTCAGCAACCACAACATCAACAACCACAACAATCACAACCACCAATCCCATTCATCCAACGAATTAGTCATCAATCCCAACCCCAACAACCACAGCAATCCCAACAACCAAAACACCCACAACAATCACAACAACCAATTCCACCAAGAACAATCCCATTCATCCAGCTAATTCGTCAGCAACCACAACATCAACAACCACAACAACCACAACCACCAATCCCATTCATCCAACGAATTAGTCAGCAACCCCAACCCCAAAAACCACAGCAATCTCAACAACCAAAACAATCACATCAACCAATTCCACAACAACCAATTCCACAACAACCAATTCCACAACAACCAACCCCATTCATCGAACGAATTCGTCAGCAACCCCAACCACAACAACCACAGCAATCACAACAACCAATCCCATTCATCGAACGAATTCGTCAGCAACTCCAACCACAACCAACACAACAACCACTAACCCAAAATGCTCCAATAAAGCCAAATGAAATTGATTTATCTTTGGTCAATTCAAATGGAAAATTAAGTCTAGATCCAACTCCATTGAATGAAACAGAAAAGGCATATATACGTTTAAATGAACGTATCGAACTTTATCAACTAATGCCAAAAAAGGAAATCCCAGGTGATGGTAATTGCCAAATGCATGCGCTATCAGACCAGATATTTGGTGACTTGGAGCATAGTGTAATAATAAGAAATAACATTGTCGATTGGCTTAGACAAAATAAAGGTTTTTACCTTCCAAATGGAGAAACCCTCTCAGAATTTGTTACTACAAACAGTTGGGAGGAATATTGTGATAGTATGTCCAAAAATGGCACATGGGGCGATCATTTAACATTGGTCGCTGCAGCTGAAATTTATAAAAAAAATATTTCTATAATCTCTTCAGTTGAATCACAGAGTAGTTCTTTCATAGAAATTACTCCAAGCATTAAATGCGAGAATGGAATTTTGTTATCACATTTTGCAGAATTCCATTACGGTTCTTTATGCACATTAGCTAATTAAACCATTATATCGGTAAGTTATTTTATTTTCCCACTATTTTTTTTTATATACTATTTTATATTAATTCATTTTATTTAATACATTATATTTTAGCAATTATTTTAAGCCATTATCAAGTAATAATATTATTGTAATATAAAAAGATTCTAAGCCGTCTCTAGCCATGTTGAAGTATCATTTACAGTAAAAATCTTATTTTATTGATTGTAATGTGGAATCTGCTAGTGTAGAATTTGTTGCGCCAGTGACAGCTCCTTAGAATATGTTTCATCTAGTGATGTTTCATCTTATCCAACTGGTGGTAACTATGCAGCTCAAAGGTCTAGCTGTTCGGGAAAATATTTGTTTAAAAAAATAAGAAAAACACCATAACTTTTTGAAAATGCTGAAGAGTCTTGGTATTATTATCAAGTTATTATTCTTTTTGATAGTGATTGGAACCTCAAATGGATTTTTAACTCAAGATTGTGGCAAATTTCTAACTAATCAAGCAACCAATAAAGCTTATCCAAGCAGTCAACTATTTTATTAATATCATTAATTGCTCTGGCCAAGCAACTATGACCATAGAAATCAAATAGTTTTAGGAGAAGAGAAAATGAAGCTTCGGTGTAACTATTAATCAAACTGGGGAAACAGTCACAATGGTGTTATTTAATCAAATATATTTAAAAATGCTCTGTAAAGAATTAGTATCTTATAGCGGTAGCTTCATAAATAAAGTCCCATTTCTGCAAGAATGTAAATTTATAATTAGACTTTTAAATTACTAGAAATTTTCAAATAGAGATTTTCCGGTCGTCGAACACTTTATCAAGTGTAAATCCGCCATTATTAGCCAATGGTACTTCAACTAGTAAAGAAAATCCAATTAGACCAATCAATATTTTAAAAACCAAATTAATAAAAATTAAAACAAAAATTTTTTAAATAATAAATAATTCTAGAAATTAAATAAATATAAAAATAATTATTTGTTTGTAAATCGTATAAAATTTTTTTTTAAAAAAATCTAACTTATATTTTTGGTGTAATTGTTAGGATGAGTATAATGAAATGAAAATAAAGAATTGTTTTAGGCAATCCATGGTGCTGGTGGTTTTGTAGGGTTTATTACAAAATTTACCTTTAAATGCTATCCTGTTAGCGATTATATTATTGGCACATATACATTTAATATAAAATCACTAGATAATTTCCTAATAGATGCATTAGTTGAAGTGGGTAAAAGACACATTTTGTACCCAAGAGAGACATTGGTATATGTTATTAATATAACTCCTTTTGTATTGCTGATCAAAGTTTTAAAAATAAACAATTTAAACATTTTTTTTTTAATTATTATCTTTTATTTTATTTTTGATTATCCATTTTTATAAAATCCTCCAGATGATCCAAAAAACGATAAATGATAACGATAATTTTTAATCACAAATAAAAATTTAAAATAAAATCAATTGTGTTATTTATTTTTATATTTTTTAATTTTAAATTTTATTAATAAAAAATAGAGTTTAGTTTTCAATTTAATATTTAAAATAAAATTATTGTTTTTTTATTATATTTTATTTTTAAGAGAATTTCTTTATAATAATTTAATGAAGTCAAATGTTTGAACATCATTTGTATTGGTAATTGATTTGAATGAAATTACTAAATTACCAGATTCGAATGACCATAACCAATAGCCATTTTGTGTAGCATTGTGTTTGATAACAATGGTATGATTTGAAGTGGCTTCTTGAACAGCTTCTAATACCATTTCATCAGCACAACGTTTGGAAAGATTGGCTGCAATTTTTTCGACAACACCTGCAAAAATATGACCAAAGCTATTTTTTAAATCAGCAGCAACATGTGGATAAACAGCTTCTAAAGATGATTGATCGATGGTCCAATCAGCATCGGACTTCATTGCTTTTTTAACAGCGGCTAAATTTGCATCCATTTTGGTTTGATTTTCTTTAATATTTAAACGGGTCAATAAAGAGTAAACTCCTTCACTTGGAAGAATAGTTTCTAACTTGGTGGTAAATACATCATTGGTATTACAGATTTTTGGACGGAATGAGATAACACAGTTACCATCAGCGAATGAGTATTGCCAATATGATGGTAATTTTTCATCGGCAGCAACAAAAACAATTTTCTTATTTGGAACAGCAGCTAAGAAGGCTTCTTTAACTAAATCATTTTTACTAACTTTAGTATCAATGTTTTTGGCTAAATTACCAACAACATCTTTGTAAAAGATGGAACCACAACTATTTGTAACCCAGTTATCATTACATTTAGTAATAATATCTTCGAAATCAAAAACGATTTCAAATGGTTCACCTAAAGCTTTTTCAATGGTAGCTAAATGAGTTTTAAAAGTTTCTTCATTATCTTTTAATGATTTTCTTGAAGTTAATGATAAAGGCATTTTATTTAGTATTATTTTAAATTTTATTTATAAGTTTAAATTATTTATTTGTTTTAATTTGTATTTGATTTAATGAAAAAAATATAATTATTTTTTCTTTTTATACTTGAGTTTAGATTTAAAATAAATTATAATTTAGAAAATTTTTAGGAAAAGAAATAAATAATAAATATCCAAATTTTTTTACACCGAAAGAAAAAAGAATTGAATAAAGTTTCTTTTTTCTTTCATAAAATTTTTTTTTTTTTAGATATTTAAAAGTAAAAAAAATTTTAGATCAGCAATAAAATAAAATCTTTTGTTTTTTTGGAAATTATATTTTTTATTCGAAAAAAAAAAAAAAAAAAAAAAAGGTTATATTTAAGATTATATCTACCTTAAATTTGGTAAACATTGAATTTTAATTTATTTACAAAGTTTTTTGATGATGGGTTACGAATTATGAGTACTTCTATTATTAATTATTATTATTGTTATTATTTTATTATTATTATTATTTATTATAACAATCACTAAAAAATACAATTGGTATTATTACTTAAATTACTGATTTTTTAATAAATAAATGATGTATGGTGTTGCTATATTCTATCTAAATGAGGTAAAACTCATTTGATCTTCATTTCTGAGTCTATTAACTAATCTGATATCTCTAACATTAATTGTAACCCTTCTGGTATGTGTCGCACAAATATTTGAATCTTCAAAAAGATTGGCCAAGTAAGTTTCTGACATTGTATGAAGTGCTAATAATGATTCTGCCGTTATTCTAAATGTATCTTTAAATGTATGTAAAATTTCTTTAACCAATCTAGAAAATGGGAGCTTGGGTATAAGAAAATCAACTGTTCGTCTATATTTATTAATCTCAATTCTTGCTATATTTCTTCTTCTTGGTGTTTTTGGAGTTTTTGGAGTTGTAGGTGTTTTAGGATTTGCAGGTGTTTTAGGAGTTGCAGGTGTTTTGGGAGTTGCAGGTGTTTTAGGAGTTGCGGGTGTTTTAGGGGTTGCAGGTTGTTTTGGTCTTGGTGGTGTTGTTACTTTGTATCTTGGTGATTTACCACCTATTTTTCTTGTTGGTGTTTTAGCTATTGGTTTTGTAATTGCTGATGCTGGTGGTTTATTTGAGATATTCGGTATTGTAGTGGTTTTAGGTGAAGGTTTTTTATGAGCAAATACTTTGCTAGTTGGTTTATATGGTGTTGTATTGTTTTCAGATTCATTGTCAAAGGTATCATTGTCATCATCTGTAATAGCTTCATCCGTTTCTTTATCACCCTGACTCGACTCTTCATCTTCGCTTGGGTCTGTACTAGGTTCTTCAGACTCCTCTTCTTCATCTTCGTCACTATCACTATTTAATCTTAATCTTTTATTATTTTTTCTACCTGCCAAACTTTTCTTTCTTTTATTTGGTGAATTAATTGATGTTGTGGTTGTAGTTGTTGTAGTTGTTGGTTTTCTTTGGTTATTTAATGTTGTAAAGGATTGTGATCTATTAATAGTGTCAAACTGTTCAATTATACTATTTTTTAATGAATTTGCATTTACGCTTGGGTTTGTGTTTGAATTTGCATTTGCATTTGATGTAACATTTCTAATTGCATTTAGTGCACTTGGAGTACCAAACATCCTTTGGCTTAATGTGGGTGACGATCTTGGTGAGTTTTCATTTGACGATGAAGATGTTGACTCATTGATATTATTATTGCTGACACCTGTGGAGTTATCGTCATCTGTTGTGCCTTGACTTATAAATCTACTACCGCCACTACTACCACCTCCACTATACGACATTATTTTTTTTTATTATGTAATTTTTAGTTTGTTTAAAATATAAATTTTATAATATACAGTTTTTTTGGGTTATTAAATATATAAAAAAAAAAAAAAAAAAAATAAACAATAAATGAAAAACTGTTATATTATTGTAATGAAGGTTATTTTTTTATTATATAATATTATTTATAAAAATAGATAAGTATGTTGCAATTATATTAATTAAATATATGAACTTTCAATCACCCCCATTGAAATTAAAAAATAAAATTAAAAAAAATAAAAATAAAAATTAAAAATAATTTAAAAAAAGTCGAAAAAAAATTTTTTAAAAAAAAATATTTAAATATTTTTAAAAAATTAAAAAAAAAAATTCAAATATTTTTATTTTTTATTTATTTCATTTTATAATTTTTAATAATAGAAACCACTAAAAAAGAAAACAAAACTACAAATTTTAAAATATATATTTATCTTTTTTAGGTTTTTTATTATTGTTATTATTGTTTAATAGATCTGTAGTTTTAAAATAAAAATATAAAATGTTTGGAGGCGGAACTAGTTTGTTTGGTTCAACTACACCCACAAGTGGTGGTGGATTATTTGGTGGTTCAACAACAACACCAACTAGCGGTGGATTATTTGGTGGTTCAAATACAACACCAACAAGCAGTGGAGGACTATTTGGTGGTTCAACAGTAACTCCATCTACTGGAGGTGGATTATTTGGTGGTCAATCAACATCATCATTATCATCAACATCAACAACAGGTAGTGGATTATTTGGTGGTTCAACAGCAAATCCATCAACAGCTGGTGGAATGTTTGGTAGTCAAACAACTTCTACTGGTGGTGGGTTATTTGGTAGTTCAACAGCTACTCCATCTACAGGCGGCGGATTATTTGGTGGCTCAACAACTTCCCAACCTACAAGTAGTGGATTATTTGGTGGTTCACCTATTAATCCATCTGCAGGTGGTGGATTGTTTGGTGGACAATCATCATTGGGATTCCCAACAAGTGGTAACAATGGTGGATTATTTTCACAGATGCAACCACAAGCAACACAACTACAACAATCACAAATTCAACAACCAGCATATACCGAATCAACTAAATTTTCAGATTTACCACCACAATTAAAAGCAGAGTTACAAAAATTAAAGTAATTATTATAATTATAATTATTATAATAAAAATTAAATAATCAACTAACCTTTATTTTATCACATTTAAATTAAATACCATACCACTATAGTAAAATGATAATTGAAAATGGCGCAATTATGAATTCATTTTCAGCATATACACCAGAAATTGACCAAGTATCAAAAAGTTTAGATCAAATCGGATCACTTATAGACAATTTAAATAATAACTATGACATTCATATCCAATCATTTTCATACTTGGAAACCAATTTAGAAAAGCCACTCGTTTTAATTAATGAACAAATTCATTTACTTTCAATTCAAATTAATAGTATCTTTATACAATCAAGACCCTCAAACGAGATGGTAAGAATAGTTGATGTATTAATTAGCAAAATCGATACAATTAAACAAAATATCTCATGTATTGCACCAGTTCACAAAAGTCACTCACAAAATTTATCATATCAAGAATGTAAATAATTATTTAATGTTATTAATTATCAATTTATTATTATTATCATACTGATGATTTTTTTTATTTTTATTATTTTTTAATATATTAGCATTTATATCAACATTAAAATCAAATCAAACAATTTTAAGAAATTTAGCATATTATGTAGAAAGTTTAGTTTCAGAATTAGAAAGACAAAAGAAACATTTTCTTTTTATAAAAAAGAAATACTATAACTCAACTTACAACCCATTTTTAAAACAACCTAAATATAATGAAAATCAAAATGAATCTTTAAATACCAGCCATTATAATGGATATAATAGTGGTTTTCAATCATCTCATATGGCCTCACAATCGTCGTTATTTGGGTCATCCATCAGACCATCAACATCACCAATAAATCAACAACAACAACCACAACAATCATTTAGCTCATCTTTACCTTTTAATAATTCATTTATTAGCTCAACACCACAACAAAACTCTTCATTTTTAAATTCAAACTCGTTTGGTAACAACAATAATAGTATCAGCAGCAGCAACAATAATAATTCAAGTAGTAGCTTTGGAAGTTTAGGCAGTACCTCATCAAGTTTAGGTAGTGCAACATCAAGTTTAGGGAGTTTAGGGAGTTTAGGGAGTTTAGGTAGTACAAATACATCATTAGGTCAAACCAATCCATCAACATCATCAACAGCAACCTCCTCTTCATCAACAGTCACATCAACAGGTGTTGTTATACCTTCATTAGCAATTGGAGCTGGTGCCGGCCTTTTCGGTTCATCAGGGAGTAGTGGCTCGTTAGCATCTACAAATAGTCTTTCAGCCTCATCCAACAGTCTTTTTGGTGGCCCACCACAAACTCCAACATTATCCGGTCAAAATTCTCAATTAGGTATTGGTTTTTCAATTTCTTCATCCGCTTCAAATGTTGAAACACCCAAAAAAAAGAATAACTCATTATCATCCTCTAGAAGACCATAAAATAAACAATAAATAAAAAATATATTGAAAACACTCTACTATTAAATATAATTTATATTTAAATTTTTATTTGTTTATATTTTATATTACATAAAAACACACACACATATGTGTGTGTATGATTTAATATGATTTTGAAGTTATATATATTTTTATTTTTATTTATTTAAAAGTAATTGAACTAAAACTATATTCTTGCCAAAGTTTTTATCAGGTACTACTTTATTTTCGATAACTTTAAATTGGTCATTCATGAGAGTGGTTCCTTCGTTATCATAAACTTCGACATTGAGTGGTGATGAAAGTTTACCTGTTTTTGTATTGGTTAAAGTTGCTGTAAAATCGTGGAAAAGTAAATATGATTTTGGTGGATTTGGTCTACCTATAATACATACAACATGGTCACTATTATCGTTAATATGAATAACCCACTGTTCATTGGATCCTCCAGTACTAACATAACTAAATTCACATTTATAATCACCCTGAATATTGAAAATAAAACCAATTAGAAAAAGGGAGCTAATATCAAAATAAAAATAAATAGATACTTACCAAGCTCATATCAACAGTTTCTAAATTACCTTGTGGCTTGGCATCAAAATCTTTTGATACCTCTTCTGAAAATACAAAAACACTTTGTAAAATTAAAATTAAAACAAATAAATATTTAATCATCATGATTTCTTTATATATATTAAATTTATATTAAAAAAAAATTATAATAATTTTAAATTGGTTTAATATGATGATATATTTGGTGATGATGGCTAATTTTCAAAAAAATAAAAAATAAAAAAAAAAAATTTAATTTTATTTTTTAAAATTTAAAAAAAAAAAATTAAAAAAAAAAATTATTTTTTCATTATAATTAAATAATTTTTTTTTTCTTTAAACATATTATATTTATCCATTTATTTATTACTTTAAAATAACAATAATAAATAGTTATCGTTTAATAATATGGGTGATATAAATAGTGTCACTGGTAACAGTGATGAAGTTTATTCAGAAAAAATTTCAAATTTAAGAAATTCAAGTGTTATAGTTAGAGTTTCAGGAATAGATAATAGTAATACTAATAGTAACCTATCAAACAGTCGATCAAGATCATTTTCATATACATCGTATGTATTTTTTTAACTTTTAATTTCAAATTTTTTAATTTCAAGTTTTTTTAATTTCTTATTTTAATTTAAAAAATTTTTTAATTTAAAATTAAAAAAAAATAAAAATAAAAAAATAAAAAAAGAAATGGAAAAGTAATATTCAGTTGCAGTGGGTTCATTATAGATTTATCTAGAGGTTTAATTATTACATCACCAGCTATATTTTTACCATTTATACAAAACGATTATAAAAAAAGAAATAAAAATTCAATCAATGACTCATTCATATCAATCAATACTAAGGTTTCAATCGAAAAGATTTTAAAAAATATATCAATCGATATCCTTTTAGAAAGCGATGTAGTTACTAATAATAGTAATAATAGTAATAATAGTAATAACGACAATAATTTTGATAATAAAATATACGACCCAATAAATTCATGGAAATCATGCAGATATATAGACTATATTAGCTGTGGCCAATCGACAATAAATGTTTTAAGCAAATTAAAAAATCATTTTATACTATCAAACCAAGGATCTTTATATGAGTCATCATTTGGCTTAATAATAATAGAATTAATTGACAAAACACCACTAATATCATCAATTAATATAGATAACAATAACAATAACAATAAAAATAACAATAATAATAATAATAATAATAACATTGTTACCCAAGTAACAATTGGTAATAGTTTACAAGAAAGAAGTGGAAATAGGATATATGTTGTTGGTAGTCCATTTGGCTTTATATCTCCAACTATGTTTTTAAATTCTATTAGTAGTGGTATTATATGCAACTGTATAGCACCAACACCTCAATCTTCAAGTAATCCATCCATGTTTTTAATCGACGCCAGATCATTACCTGGAAATGAAGGTAGTGCTGTATTTAATAGACAAGGTTTATTAGTTGGTATTGTAGCCCCTCCAATTAGATCTAAAAATGATAAATTACCATTCACCTTAGCTCCAGTTATTCCTATTCATTGCTACCTTTCAAAACTAGAGGAGCCACCATTATCAATATTTCCACAGTATTTATTAACATCTCCCTCAATTTATGATCCAATTCAACAAGCTGTAACCCAATGCCAAAATTCAATTGTACTTGTTCAATTTAAAAATTCATGGGGTAGCGGTGTTTTAATAAGTGAAAATGGTTATATTTTAACAAACGCTCATTTAATAATACCCTCATTACAGCAAGACAGTAATAATCAACAACAACAACAAGTCACACAGGAACAATTAGCATACCCGGAATCATTGTATAAAGATAAACTAGTAGATATTAGAATAAATAAAAATTCAATCAAATCATTTAATAGTTTACAAACTCATTTATTTAATCAACAACAATCAAATCAAAAATATATATGGTGCAAAGGTTCTATTGAATATATATCACATACTCATTTAGACATTGCATTAATTAAAATTAAACTTATTCAAAACGAGTTAGACCATTATAATAACGATAATCATAGTAGTGTCCACAATAGTAATAGTTACGATGAGAGTCTAATTAAATTTAACCATGTTGTTTGCAATCCCCTTTTAAATCCGAAATATGGTGAAAGAGTATTTGTTTTAGGTTTTCCTCTAATTCCCCCAAATCAAAATCCTCCCATTAGTGTCACTCGTGGAGTAATTTCAAATATAGTTTCTGTTGATGGATGCGCAGTAAGTTATCAAACCACAGCATCAGTTCACTCTGGCAATAGTGGTGGTGGTTTATTTGATTGCAAGGGTAACTTTTTGGGTATTGTTACATGTAACGCAAAACAGAAGAATGGTTTAATCATCACAGAGTTAAATTTCTCCATACCAGCTGTATCCCTTATGAATTTCTTCCAGTATTCCAACGGTAATGATAAAGCTTCGTTAGATTTAATGAAATCAAGTAAAACAAATAAATTTTTAAGAGCGCTATGGAAACTTCAAATCACTCCACCACCATTAAATACTACTAATAATAATAATAATAATAATAATAATAATAATAATAATAATACAAATACAAATAATAATAACAATAACAATAGCAATAACCCACTTCAAATTGGGGGAAAAAAATATTCAGAATTTTTAACAAAGATAAATCAACAACAATACCAAAATCAGTTATCCCAACAATATCAATGTGATACTTTTAAAAGAAATTCCAATAACAATAATAGTAATATTTTTGAAAGTAAATTATAGACTATCAATAAAAAACAATGGCAATAAAAAACTATTTTTGGATTATTTTTTGTTTAAAAATTATTATAATGATAACAGAAAAAAATTATAATAAAAAATAATACTTCTATAGTAGTTAACATAATTTAAAATTAAAAAAAATATCTGTTCAAAGAATCATTGTTATATTATTGCTATGTTTATTATTGTTTTAATGTTGGGGTTGTTTTTTCTTTCAAATTCTTTAAATAACCTTTTAAACTTGGTTTCAAAAGTATTATTACAACTTAGTGGTTCAAAAATTTTATTTTAAAATAATTATGATTTATATATTATCGAATTATATATATAAAAAATATTCTAAATATAGGTTTAAATCGGAATTTATACATATTTAAAAAACATCACACTTTTTTTCACCCATTTATTTTTTTTTTATTATTCAAAAAAAAAAAATATATATATACATAAAAGTAAATATATGTACACATTTTTAAACATTTTCGATAAAACACACACATGCACTCACCCATTTTAAAAGTTACTTTCCCACACCCATTTTAAAAGTGAGTGGGTTCTCCAAAAAAAAAAAACTTATTATATATAAAATTTAAAATTAATAGAGCAAAAACTCACACTCAAAGATTTATTTAACACATAAAAACATACCACTCTTAACACATTAATTCTGTATTTCACATTCAAACACTACTCTACACACAGTTTAACAGTTCACACACAATCATTAATAGGAAAATACATTGTTCTTTCTTTTTTTTTTTTTCCATTTTTTTTAATTTTTATTTTATTTTATTTTATTTTATTTTATTTTATTTTATTTTATTATATTATATTTTTTGTGTGTATATTCTTTTGTTGTCTTGCTCATTTTTGTTTTTAATTTTATCATATATCTATTATAAAGTTTATATTATATAAAAATAATAATAAATAATAATAATAATAATAATAGCTATATATACACCCTATATATAAAAAAAGTGTATAAATACAACTATTTTATTATTATTCAATTTATTTTAAATATTTATTTATATTTTAATCTATTTATTTATTTATTTATTTATTTATTTATTTATTTATTTATTTATTTATTTATTAAAATTTCATATATTTTTTTTTTTCTTTACCCTATTTTTTGTTGGGGACTACATCATACATTTCAAAAGATAATCACAAATAATTTAAATATTTATAAAACCATTATACTATATTGTTAATAATTTTTGTTTTTATTTGTTATTTTTTAATAATTTATATTATATATATATTTTTTTTTCATTTTTTAATTATTTTTTTCCCCACCCAATAATAAAATTATAAAATATTTGTTTTAATTTATTTATAAATTGTAGTTATAGTAATAATAAAATTGTATATATACAACAATTAATTAAATAGTATTTTTAAAAATAAAACTACTTAAAAATAATCAATTCCTTTTTTCCCCATAAAAATAATATCCATTGTTTATTTTAAATTTTATAAACTATATTTATTTATTTATTTTGTTATGTTGTTTGTAAATATTTTATATAAATATAGATCAATACACTATTATATGTATTAAATAATAATAATATTTTTATGTAGTTTTCATATCATCATTATGATTGTTTGGTTTTAAAAAATAACTTTGTAACTTTTTTTATTAAAACCCTATTGATAAATAATATCAAAAATACAAATAATCTTCATCAAATATTAAAAAAATAATTTTTATTAATATTGAGTGTTAAATTTATTTATTGTTTAGTAATCTAAAATTGTAATAATTAAAAAAAAAATGTCATTAAAAAATAAAAAAATAAATAATTTAAGTGGCAGTAATAATAGTGGAAGCAACAGTATCAGTTCAGTGGATGAATTTATATACAAATCGAATGAATCAAATTCAAAGAAGTTTAAATTAAAAAAAAGACTATCACTTTTTAAACTATTGAATAACAGTTATAATAGCAATAGCAATGGGATAGTGGGAATAGTGGAAAAAGAAAGTAATATTACCGATAAAATTATAATTAGGAACATTGGTTCTGATGGCGCTTCAAATAATAGATTGGATGAAGATGACTACTCAGACTATTCTATTTCATCAAATGAACATTCAGATACAAATAACAATGGTAATATAGGTCAAAAAATAAAAAATTTATTTTCATCAACTCCACAAACAAAATCAGCGTCAAATACCCCTTCATATAGATCACCAAAAATGGGCTCTCAACTTCCACCACAAATCCCAGCAATCTACAATAACAATAACAATATAAATAATAGCAATAATAACAATAACCATCATTTTAAAATTGCAGAAAATCCAAGTAAAAAATTAAATAAAAGACTTTCCCAAACTGGTATATCAATTGGTTTAAAAAAAACACTTTCAACCCATTTTAATCACTCAACAAATGACAATATGGATGAAAATGAAAAATTAAGAATAGAATTAGATCAAACAAAACTATTACTTTTAAAGAGAAATGAAGAAATTTTAAATTTAAAGAAAAAAGTTTCAGAACTTAACCAAATAAATGAAAGACTATTTACAATTTTAAATGATTCGTCGAAAGAAAAAATTCAATTGGCCACCTTAAAAAGTACACCACTATGTCTATCACCAGAACTCCCAAGTATTAAACCAGTTAGCATTAAAGGCTCAGCTTCTAACCATGAAGAAGATATATCGAGTTATGAAAAAAAATATGAAAATTCAAATATTTTAACCAAAAGTAGAAATAAACAACTAGATGATGCAATTGCTGAAATCGATGAATGTTTACAAGAATTTATTGAAGATAACCCTCAAAAGGACTTAATAAAATCTCCAAAAATGATAAATTTAAACATTGACAATATTGAAACAAATAATAGCAACAACAACAACAATAATAATAATAATGACAAATACAACGAAAATAAAAATGACACTATCGATATTGAAGACTCGATGCCACTTTTAAATATATCATCAGATGCAATTGTAACACCTACTTATTCTCAAAGGTCATCATTACAATATTTCAACTCCCATTCAAGAATCTTCGATAATTTCATCAGTTTCAACAGCATCCTTTAAGAGTTATTCGATGATGTCCGATGAAAGAACAACTAAAGATTTTAGTTTCTCCATATAACTCATTTTATAGCTTTAATACATCAAGACCAAATAGCACCCAATTTCCATCACCAACAATAAATAGTGTTGTGAATAACTCTACCAACTCCAATAACTGCAGCATTTTACCTCCATTATCATCTTTATCATATGTAAATCATATTGTAGATACACCACACCCATTATCTATCCAAATATCTCCTCGAAAACCATTGCAAAAAAGATCAGCTTCCACCCTTTCTATATCCACTAAAACCTTTCAAAAAGAAATATCTCCAACACTGCCACCATTACCTCAAACACCATCCCAACACCAAACACCAACTCAACAGACCCAACAATATGTCAAAACACCAATTACCTCACCCACATTAAGAAGTTCACAACCTTTATCACCAAGAAAAATAAATATTCCTTTGAAGAAAACCGAATTTAGTAATGAAAATTCAAATTTAGAAACATCCATCACCTCACCAAGAAAACAAATAACTCAATCCATTAATATGTATAATAGCAGTATTGGTAAAAATAATATGTCCAAAACAATTAATAGCCCAAATAAGAGTCCATCAATCAAATCTACTAATACAGCACTAGCATCAAGACCACTCAATATTAATAACATAACAACTCCAAACAATAACAAATGTTTTTTATCCCCAAATAAAAGAAGTTTTAGTAGTATCGATATTTTGAAAAATAATAATATATTAAATAATATTGGAGGTAATATTAATAATATTAACAATAATAATATTATTAATAACAACAATAGCAATAGCCTTAACAATACATCCACAATCCAATGTAATAATAGTACAAATATTAATAACTTTAATTTAAACCCAAGACCAATTTTAAAAAAAAGTGGGACATTACATGGGCTACAATTCAATAAAGAAAATAATACATTAAAAAATATCAATAACAATAATAATAATGAAAATATATTATTATCAAAATCACCATCATTTGGAACATATAAAAAAGATTCAATAAAAGTAAAACAATTAGTAAACTTTTTTGAAAATTAACCTTAATATTTATGTATTAAAATTTTTTTTTTTTTTTTTTTTTTTTTTTTTTTAATTTAAAAAACAATTTTTTTTTTGGGGAAGGGGAAAAAATAGAAAAATTTTTTTTTAATAAAATTTTTTTTCTTTTTCAAGGGAAAAAAAAAAAAAAGATTATTTTATCACAAAATGATCATTTCAAAGATTTTTTTTAAATTTTTTTTTGAATTTATTTATTTAATTAATTTTTTTTTTTTTTTTCCAATTTATTTTTTTTAATTTTTTTTTATATAAAAATCAAAATTAAAAAAAAAATTTCATTTTTTCAAATTTAATATACTGTTAACAAATAAATATGGATAATAATAATAATAATACCGCAACTCCACCAAACCCAGGCACACCAACCAAAAACCTCACCCCTGGATTAAGATCATCAAATCCAGGTCTTTTAATGGACAGAAGAAGATTAGATGAAGAGTATGTATTTTTTTTTTTGTCTTATGTTTTTTAATCACAATAATGTTTTTTTATAAATTATAATAATAATTATTTCCCCTCATTCTATTTTTTTTTTTTTAATTATAATAAACGGGGGGGGGTTATTTATCACTTGTTTTTTTTTTTTTTTTTTAATATTTTTATTTTTATTTTTATTATTATTATTATTTTTATTTTAAAAAACATAACAATAGTTGTATTTAAATAAATGTGGTAGTGGACTTTGTATTATTTATCTTAATTAATTGTAACAGATTATATTTTTATTTATTTAAATATTTAAATATTTTTTTGACATATTATTAATAAATCAACAATGACAATAATGATTATTTATTACAATAATTAGTTTTTTTATCATTTATATATTTATTATTTTTTGTTATATATTATTATTGTATATTTTTTTTTTTTTGTTTAAATTTTTTTATATTTATTTTTTATTTTTTTTGACCAATTTTCTTTATTATAATTTCAATTACCATCACTCTTACTAATATTCTAATATTTTAAAATGATTTCTATTAGGAAAAACTCACTTGAAGAAATTGCTTTAGGTCACAAATCACCAAACAAACCATTATTCCCAAATCTTCACCAATATAGTTTAAGTATGTATTATAGAAATAATATTATAATATTTAATCAAAAACAGGTCCAAAAAAAAAAAAAAAGAAAATTATTTTTATAAATATCTAAAAATCTTGTGGATTTATTTTAATTTTTTAATTTTTTTATATAGATGAATTATCAAATCCACCAACTGAAGAAGAATTGCAAAACTACAAGGATGTTTCAGCTCAAAATCTCCCACCAATTCACAAGAGAGAAGCTTTAAAAAGAGTCTTTGTTAATAGAGATATCAAACTTGACAGAATTGAATTCTTTGGTTGTATGTATTCGATTATTAATTATATTTTAATTGTTATTATTATAATTTTAAAAATCTAACTTATTTTGTTTTTATTACAGTCGATATGGATTACACATTAGCCGTTTATAATTCACCAGAGTTTGAAGAATTAGCATATGATATGGTAATTGAAAGACTTTTAGAAATCGGCTATCCAAAATCAATTAAAAAATTAAAATATGATCCAAATTTCCCAATTAGAGGTTTATTTTTAGACAAAGAGCTTGGTAACCTTTTAAAGATTGACAGCTTTGGAAATATTATTATTTGTATTCACGGCAAAAAGAAATTAACACCAAAACAAACTTCAGAATTCTATCCAAGTATGAGAGTTAGTTCAGACGAAATTGTAAAAAAGTAAATATCAACTATTATATAGTTTACACTAATAACAATTAAAATTATGTATTAACACACCATCATTATTTTTTTAGTCGTTTCTATCTTTTAAATACATTATTTACTTTACCAGAAGCTTGTTTATATAGCGATATTGTTAATCATATTGAAACCGAAAGTAGCTTAAGATTGACTGAAGAAATTGCTGATGAACAACAACAATTTAATTCACCACCATTAAGCAGTCTTGGATCAAATCAAGAAAACCCATCTCATGAAATTGATGGAGATTTATCATTCTCTAATCTTTTCCAAGATATCCGCACAGCATATGATTTAGTCCATAACGATGGTAGTCTCAAGAAAAGAGTTTTAGCTGATTTACCAAAGTAAATATCACAAATATAAATTATAGTAATTTATAATACAATATTAACATTTATTACAAAATTATAGATACATCAGAAAAACCAAAGATATGCCAGTATTCTTTGATAGATTAAGACAAAATGGTAACAAAGTTTTCTTATTAACAAACAGCGAATATTACTATACCAATAGTGTAATGTCATATATGTTGGATGGTTTTGATCCAAAATATAATTCATGGAAAGATTATTTCGATGTAATTATTGTTGGTGCTGATAAACCAAGATTCTTTTCAGAAGGTACCACAATTAGAGAAGTTGACGTTGAAACTGGTAATTTAAAGATTACCAATGTTAAAGATAGATTCGAAAAAGGTAAGGTTTACCATGGTGGCTCTTTATCACTTTTCCAAAAATTAACCGGTGCAAAGGGCAGTCGTGTTCTTTATATTGGTGACCACATTTTTGCTGATATTATCAAATCAAAGAAGACTCATGGTTGGAGAAATCTTTTAATCGTACCTGAATTGGATCATGAATTAAAGGTTTCAAAGGAAGAAAAACAAACCTATATTCATTTAATGAATCTTGAATTTATTAGAGCAGAAATTTACAGAGGCTTAGATTCACAATCAACTCAACCACCAGATATTGAAGTTTTACTCAAACACATCAAAGATACCAATGAGAAATTAAATTTAGCATTCAATAAAAATTTTGGTTCAATGTTCAAACATGGTTCAAAATCAACTTTCTTCTCAATGCAAGTTCAAAGATATGCCGATCTCTACACTTCTGACTATCTTAATCTCTTAAATTACCCATTATTCTATCACTTTAGTGCCAACCCACAACCACTCCCACACGAAAATATAACACATCCAACTTTTGAAGCTTCATCATCTTAAAAAATAAATAAAAAAATAGATCTAAAAATGTAAACAAACAATGGCATAACTTTTTTTTTTTTTTTAATTTTAATTTTTTTTTTTTTTTTTAAGTTATTTGTTTACACATTTAATATTAATTATTATATTAATGTTTATAAAATAGAAATTTTCCCTTTCCATAGTTTTAAATTAAATATCATTTTGAAAAAAAAAAAAAAAATAATTTAATTTTATTTTTTTTTTATTTTTTTTTTTTTATATTTTAAAATTAAAAAAAAAAAAACGAATAATTATCATTTTTTTAAATAAATATAAATACAAAACGAAATATGGCTGCGGCACCACCACCATCAATTTATACAGAATCATTTAATACCAGTAGCAATAACAATATTCAAAATGAAGTAAATGATAACGATAGAGATACTATTTTATCAGGTTTTTCGTTCGACGAATATTTTTTAGTTAATGAATCTATTAGTGTTATAAAAGAAAATAATTTTAAACAGATTGCACTTCAATTACCAGATTATTTATTATGGGCATCTTCAGAACTATCAAATAAAATTCAAAAGAGTGTACCACAAGAATATGGTATCAAAGTATTCATTCTTGGTGACACTTCATATGGTTCATGTTGTGTTGACGAGGTTACCTCGTCACATTTAAAAGCAGATTTTATAATACATTATGGTCACTCATGCTTATCACCGTAAGTAATAAAAAATGCAATTAATAGCGATATCCTTTAATATTAATTCATTTTTAATATATATGCATAATAGATCATCAAAAATACCAGTTCAATATGTATTTGGCAAAAAAAACAAATTTAGATATTGAAATTTTTACAAAAGAGTTTAATAGTTTTATAGAATCAAATAAAAACCAAAAATATATCATTCTTATGATTTACTATACCACCACAAAAGAGAAATATTAGCAGAGCAATTCAAAAATAATGAGAATATAAAAGTTTCAAATATAAATACTTTTAATAATATTTATTTAACAAAATCATTTAAAAATAACAACAACAATAACAATAGCATTAGCAACGAAAACTGTGGAGTAAGTGATTGTTGCAGTTCAAATAACAATAATAATGATGGTTGCTGTGGCAATACAAAAAATAATGACAGTAGTTGTTGTAATTCAAATAGCAATAGTTGTAAAAATAATAATAATAATAATAATATCAATAATAACAATATAGATAATAATGAAAAAAATAACTTAATTTCAGGTAGAATTGTTGACCTAAACGAAAATGATGATATTAAAAACTATAGTTTTGTTTGGATTGGTGATGAATCTTTAACATTGACAAATATTTTATTAAACTTTAATCAGCAATCAATTTATAGATATTATATCGATAATAATAAAATCGCACAAGAAACCTTACCAAGAAATAAAAGTTTAATGAGAAGATATCATATTTCAGAAAAATGTAAAGATGCAAGTGTTATTGGTATTGTTGTTTCAACTTTATCAGTTGGTAAGTACTTTAAAAAATATATAATAATAATAATAATAATATTTATTAACGTTATTAATTATTTAAAAAAATAGCAAAATACTCTGAAACTATAGATGGATTAAAAAAATTAATTATAAGTAGTGGTAAAAAACCATATGTTTTTGTAGTTGGTCGTTTAAATGTTCCAAAATTAGCAAATTTTTCTGAAATAGATATTTATGTCATTGTTGCATGCTCAGAAAACACAATGGTTGATTCAAAAGATTTCTATAAACCAATTGCAACCCCATTCGAATTAAATCTTGCATTAAGAAATGAACAATGGACAGGTGAATATGTTACAGATTTTGGTAAAGTTTTCCCAAAGCTCTTAGAAGAGAAATTAGAATCAACAAGAGAAAAACCAGAAGATGAAGTTGAAGATGACGAAGGTAATATACATCATTTCTCATTAGTTACTGGTAGAATCGTTTTACAAAATAAATCTACTCAGCAACAAGAACAACAATCAACTAGTGGCGAAATAGTTTCAGTAGATAACAGCTTTAAACAAATTTCATTGGTCGAAAATCATTTACAAAACAAAACTTACAAAGGTTTGGATATGAGAATTGGTGAAACTCCTGTAACAGCCGCTATTGAAGGTTTAAGTGGTATTCCAAAGAATTATACAAGCGAAAAGAATAATCTTAATAAATAAAATAGTTTAAAAATAATTTTATAATGGTTTTACAAATAAATTTTATTTATTTCTAATTTTATTTTTGTGTTGTAATATAAGAATCTAAAATACCAAATGGAGAATCGCTATTAACTTTGGTATTATTACTGTTTGTTTTAATATTATTTTTAATATTATTATTATTATTATTATTGTTATTATTATTGCAATTATTTGTATTTGGTGCAGTTGCAAAAAAATCGAAATCATTTAATCCATTATTACTGCTTTTTAATAATGGTGAACTATTAACGCTACTATTTGGGACTCTTGAAGTAGTAGCCTGTGGGAGAATTGGTGATGATGAGTCTGGGGTTAAAGACATAATGGGTGTAGCTGGAGTTGACTGAGATAATGGTTTGAGGGTATTTGATGAGGGTGTGGTATTTGAAAAAGAAAGAGATGAAAAATCGAAATCATCCATAATACTGGATGATTTATTATTATTATTATTTGAATATATTGGATCTAAAGTATCAAAGCTATTTGAAACAGTTTTTGGTAAACTATTATTACTAGTGTTATTAATATTAATGTTTTTATTATTGTTATTGATATTATTATTGATATTATTATTATTATTCATATTATTATTGATATTATTATTATTATTATTCATATTATTATTGATATTATTATTTTTATTATTATTATTATTATTCATATTATTCATATTATTCATATTATTATTCATATTATTATTTTTATTATCGCTTTTTATTTCAAGGAAATCTAAATCTCCAATTAAATTGTTATTACTTGAATTATTGAAATTATTATTACTTTTATTACCCATATTGTTTTTTACATTTAAACCTCCAAATAAATTTTGATTTGGTGAGGTTACAGGTGATTGATCTGTATCGAAATTAAAAATACTACCTGTTTGATTATTACTATTGTTATTACTGTTATTGCTGCTATTATTGCTATTATTGTTATTACTATTATTATTTTGATATTGTTTTTCTAATAATTCTTTTTGTTTTTTTTGCTGCTCTTGAATTGATTGTAAATCCTTTTCGAAATCAATGCCAAGTAATCTTAAAATCGACTTTGATTTTTCTCTTGGACCTAAATGAATCGAATTTGAAATATTAATTAAATGAGTATTATTTGATTTATAGAATTGAATTGCTGTTTCGATTTTTTGAACAATTAAAAATTCGATTAAACAAAGATATTTTTGCTTAGTTTGCCACTTTTTTGATGACTCAATGGAATAATAAAGAATTGATAGAACGTTTTCAGTGCTTTCTGAGGATAACTGTTTATAATAGGAAAAGAATTTTGAAATTGATGAGGTGGATAAATTCGAAGAGGTTTCATTACCTATATAACCTGTTATATTAATATATTCATCTGTTCCCAAGTATGGATTGTTTGGATCGGTATCTGAGAAACTGTTATTATTATTATTATTATTACTATTATCTATAAAGTGAGTACCATCTCTTAGTGGTACCAAAGAAAATTGATTGGGGTCTGTATTTGGGACTGATTCAAAACTTAATTTAGATTGTTCTGTATTAAAAACTTTTGATGGTAACGATTGTATTTTTTGTTTGATATCCTGCTTAATTTCATCCATCGGTGTTAATTGCTGAACAGGAGCATTTGTAATTGCACCACTGCTCCCAACGCCAACCATTACCCTTTGTTGTTGTGGTACCACTACAATTGAATTACCATATCCCTCATATAATGCTAATTCATTATTATTATAACTATTATTACTGTTGTTGCCGCTATTATTATCGTTATTTGAATATTGGTATAACATATTTAAAATATCTTGAGCTTCTTTTCTAACTAACATATATGGGTTATCGCCATAAATAGCATCTTGTTTACCATTATATGATGTGCATTTATAAATTTCATTAGAGTTTAATAATAATTCCTGTTTGAAAACTGGATTGCCTTTTAACATTAGATGCTTGATACATTTTAATGATTTTAATTTTACGTGTGATGATTCTTTTTTTAATCTTTCTAATAACTTTTTTAAAATATCCTCGCACTTTTCTATTGATTTAAAAGTTTCGTCTATAAATAAAAATAAAATAGAAATGATGTTAATATTAAATTATTATTTTTAAAAAATACCCAATATTATAAAGTAATATTACTTTGTAACTCTAATAATAAATATCCTGATGTTGGCTCTGAAGAATCGAGAGTTGCCTTACCAACAATTGAAAGGATCGAATTTACATTATTTGATATATTTACAATTATATTATTCATTTCTTTTAAACGTAGTTTATGACGTGTAAAATAAAATAAATATCAAAAAGTATTTTTTAAATAATAATAAAAAAAAAAAAAAAAAAAAAAAAAAAATATAAAAAAATATAAAAAAAAAAAAATTTTAAAATATTTTTATTTTATTTTTTAAAATTAATTTTTAAAATTATAATTTATTACTTTTTTACTTTTTTTATAATACCAGTTTTTATTTTCAACATTTATTTAAAACAACAAAATTAAAATCACACACAATATAAAAAAATAAAAAAAATAAAAAATTAAATTAATTGATCAGTTTCGAAGAAAAAATAAAAGAAATCTATAAATAATATGAATAACAATAAACATGTAGATAAATTCTTAATTATTTGGCGAAATACATATTTAAAACAAGAAATTATCAAACATTTAAGATTATATAACAAATATGAAAATTTTGAGGCATATTGCAACCAAGAATTAATAGCCCATGCAAATAGAAACTATATTTCAAAACTGGAATTAAGCTTTGAAAATGAACTACTACAACCAGATATAATACCATATGGTGTAACCGAATTAACTTACAACATATACTACACCGGCAACGACATCGATTACACGATCAAACCTGGTGATATTCCCAATACTGTTACAAAGCTTATAATCCACAATTATTATGAGCCATTGGATTTTCTACCAGAATCTCTGACACAATTAAAGGTGCACGAAAACGGACAAGATATTTTGCCAGGTTATTTGCCCCCAAATCTTTTGAAACTCTCAATGCTATTCGGACCCGGTGACATATCCCTTGGATCTTTACCGCATTCTCTAACAAAACTTCGATTAGATACATTTAACAGACCACTTACAAGAGGACTAATAGGACCAAATGTTAAAGATCTGTATCTATATGATTTTAACCAAAAGATTTTTCCTAATCAAATTCCTCGATCCGTCAAAAAACTAGAACTAATTCGTTTTAACCAACAATTAAATAAAGAAAATATTCTTCCAAACTCAATTACACATCTAAATCTGTGCCATTTTAATAAGCCACTAGAAAAAGGAATACTTCCATCCTCGCTATTGTTTCTAGAAATGAATGCTTTTAATTTACAGTTAAAGAAATGTGTTCTTCCACAAAGTATTACAAGTATTAATCTTTTTCAATTCAACAAAAATATTTCAAGCGGTATATTTCCCTCCTCATTAAAACAAGCTTCGCTATTCAATTTCAAAAAACAAATTAATGAGAATATATTTGGTACATGTTTAACATCCCTCGAACTCTCTAGATACTCCTTTCCCCTTAATGGGTGTGAGTTTCCCAACTCTATTAAAAAACTAACCCTATCAACCTACAACGAACCTTTATCACAAAACTCAATTCCTTTTGGTGTCGAACAGCTAGACTTACCTCTTTATGATATACCGATTAATATAGGCCACATTCCAAACTCGATCACAGAACTGTCCCTTTTTAGATTCAATCAATCATTAATACCAAATGCTTTCCCACCATCACTAAAGAAACTCACCTTTACTATGTTTAATAAACCACTCAAGTGTCTAAGCACCACATCCATCGATACCCTTATTCTAGGTGATTCCTTCAACCAACCAATTTTTACTGGCGATTTACCTTTATCCATCACAAGTCTAAAGTTTGGAAAAAAATTTAACCAACCTTTGCTATTCAAAGGAATGATCCCCCCAAATGTTAAAGATATCTATTTTGGGTCTCATTATGAACAAGCATTCTCTTCCGATAGTATTCCCTCATCAGTCGAAACCATCAGATTTCTAAATAGTAGCATGGAGAACCTAATACCAAATGATGGTTCAATAATATCAAAATCAGTTAAACTAATATTTATTAAATAAATTAAACCTTTAATTTAAAAATATTTTAAATATAAACTTCAATAAAAAAAGGTTTTATAAAAAAATTAATTTTTATTTAGCAAAAAAAACTTTTAAATGTATAATTGTTTTATTTATATATTTATTTTAGTCGGAATCGGAATTATCACCTTTTCTTTTTCTATAGTTATCTTCATCATCGCTATTATTACGACGATTTGATGACGAACTTTCTTTTTTAATAATTTCTTCTTGAATCTCTTCTTTATTGTTACCCCTTGTTCTATCTTTTAATTCAGTATCTTCTTTTTTATTATCCTTTGTAACCACTTCATCTTCTTCTTTTGCACTTTTATTTTTAATAGTGACTTTAATATTTTCAAGATCTTTTTCTGAATAGTCGATATCAGCATAACTTTTTGTATCTCTTCTTAATTCTCTATTTTCTCTATCATCTCTGATATATCTATTTTCTCTGCTGTCTCTGCTGTCTCTGTTGTCTCTGTTGTCTCTGTTGTCCCTGTTATCTCTGTTATCTCTGTTGTCTCTGTTGTCTCTGTTATCCCTGTTGTCCCTGTCACTACCTGAATAACTATCCCTATCTCTATAGCTACCTCCATAATCATCTCTATTTCTATATCTATCTGTATCTCTATAGCCACCTCTATAGCCACCTCTATAATCATCTCTATTTCGATATCTATCTCTGTTATCCCTAGGATACCTTACTGAACCTCTACCTTTGATTTGTCTACCAGCTGAATCTGTTGAAATGCTATTTGTTTTGTTTGCTGGTGGCGAAATTGATCTTTTTCTGGGTATATATCTGTCTTTGAATTGATCAACAGAACTTGATCTTGACCTATCTCTTTTTGATGAAGATGATGACTTTCTCTCTTTGGAACGACTCCTTCTTTTTCTTTTCTTTTTCTCTTCATCACTATCGCTATCACTATCACTATCGCTATCTGAATAATTCTTTTTGCTTTTTCTTGATTTTCTACTCTTTCTCTTTTCTCTTCTCTTTCTCTTTTTCTTTTTCTTTTCATCCTCAGACGATGATGATGACGATGATGATGATGATGACGAACTATCTGATTCCGATTCTGATTCCTCTGGCTTAACATTTGATTTTAATACCAATTCACCACAATGTACAATTTTAACATCTGCATATGGCTTATCATTCACATCAACTAAAAGTGAATTTAAAATATCGCAAACATTTTGACCTTGAACTACCTTTCCAAAAACGACATGTTTACCATCAAGATGTGGTGCTGGTGCTGTTGTTATAAAAAACTGTGAACCATTAGTATTTGGGCCTGCATTTGCCATTGATAATAAATATGGCTCGGTATGTTTGATTTTAAAATTTTCATCATCAAACTTTCTACCATAAATTGATTCCCCACCAGTACCATTTTTATTTGTAAAATCTCCACCTTGAACCATAAAATTTTTGATAATACGATGGAATGGTGATCCTATAATAAAACAAATATTAATATTATGTAAAACTAAATTTTATAAACTATAATAACTATAATACCTTTATAATGAAGACGCTGGTGTGATACCTTAGAATGCTGTGTACCTAAACATAAAACTCTGAAATTCTCTGTAGTTAGTGGTACAACATCATTAAATAATTGAAAAACAATTCTACCAACTAACCATAACAAAATACGTATTAATATTTATATCTATATATCCTCTAAAAACAATCTTTTTAAACTTACTTGGCTTTCCATCGATTTCTACATCAAAAAATGTTCTTTGATTTACCACCATATTAATAAAAATGATTTTTAATTTAACGAAATAATTTAAATAAAAAATGAAAAAAATAAAAAAAAAATTAAAAAAAAAATAAAAAACAAAAAAATAAAAATAAAAATTGCTATAATTATAATTATAGAAAATATATAATTATATAAAAATAAATTCGAGGTTTTTTTTTTTTTTTAAATTATTATTTAAATATATCTAACTACCTTATTCTATTAGTTAGATTTTTCTTTTTCAAAAATTTTATTTTTATATTATATTATTATGTATAATCATTATTAACTATTATTTAATTATTTATATTTAATTTTTTTCTATAATATTGAATCTATGTAAAAATGTATAAAAAAAATATTATTATTTTAAAACACAAAAATTGATCTTTTTTTTTTTTTTTGATTTTGAACTTTTTTTTTTTTTTTTGTAAACTATAATTGATTATTATTATTGATATTGATATTGATACTATTATTATTATTTTTATTATTATTATTATTATTATTTTTATTAAATTCTATCTACGATTTTGATAATTCATTACAGTATATAATCCATATAATAAAGAGGCTTGTTTATGTGAACAAATGGCTAATAAAGAGAGATGACACTTTTCATCAGGTTTTAAACTATAACCTAGTTTAGCATAATCATCTCTTTTAATTGATTCTGGGAAACAAACTGCTTTCTTTACAAAATTCTTTAAACTTCTACTTAAAAACATATTAACCTCTTGATAGTTGTAATCATCATGAAGCATACCTTTAACACGTTGAACATAGTACCAAACCGCTCTACGGAATGGTAATGTATCGATATCGGTGTTCTCATTGAATCTGTAATAGGTCATAGTATAAACAAAAGAAAACTCTTCGTCAAGTAATGGTGCGGCATCAGGGAAATATCTTGAAACCAATTCATAACCATGTTCTCTCCAGGAGTATTCTTGAACCGAGAAAATTGAATATTCTCTTGATGAAACATCGAAATCGGTGTGTGTTAGTGTATTATTGCCAATATAACGAGAGAAATCCATCATTCTATCTTGTGATTGCGAAAGAGATGGAATAGATGATGATGAACTTAAATTTATACTTGGATTGATATTTGTGGTTGTGGTAGTTGATGATGATGACTGTGAAAGATCATTTGAGGGCGGACCGCTTTCACTCTCCATACCTGCATTATGAAAATCTTGTTGTCTATCGTGATATTCATCGTCGTCATCCTCTGGTTGACCTCTTCTATTCTTTAAAAGCTCCATAACCTTTTCGGTGTTCTCGTATGCAGCAGTATCTTCAATTTCGCAGTCACTGTCATTTAATGAAAAGCTACTTGATAAGCTACCACTCTCTGAAAGTCCACACTCTGGTGTAATACCGCAACAGAAAACAAAACCTGATAATGAAAGAAATGTACAAATTAAAACCATAGCATGAACCAACTCTGCAATTGACCAGGCATCTGAACCTTTAACTAAATATTCAATGTCTAACTTTGGTAAAAGCCATGGTTGGTGTGCCATTAATTCAATGACTCTTAAAAGATTCTTTAACTTTGCTGGAATATAATCGATGCCTTGTAACCAACGTGAATCACCACCATTTAATAAAAATTCGTGTTCTTGAAGCGATATAATATAGGAACATTTGTAACGTGCTGCTGTTAATATACCAATGTAATTTCTCCAGTGGAATGGTAATGGTCCTGGGTCTCTCATAATTGTGTTGTATGCCAATAAAAATTTCTCTAAATATTGTGGGTGCCATCCTAATGTACGAATTAAATGATTAACTCTACCTTGTTGTAAAAATACATCTTGAAATAATTTTCTTGTTAATTCATCATCGGTATTCAATTGCGGTAATTGTGACTCCGTTGTAAAAATTGTTGTTCTTTGTTTTGGTATATGAAATTTTTCCTATTAAAAAAAAAAATTGTTAGTATTAATATTTTGGGCAAAAAAAAAAAAAAGAAAACAATATATATCAACTGAAAAGGTCTAAAATCATCATAATTTTCTTTTTTTGGTTGTAATTTTTATAAAAAAAAATTTCTTTTCAAATAAAAATCTATTTTTTTTTTTTTTGATTTTTATAATAAAAAGAAAAAAAAAAAGATATTTTTTTCTGGTGTGGAACATCACAATTTATATTCACTCGAAAATCTATTTAATTTTGTGATAGTGGTGATAAATGATTATGATGGTGCCTTTAAGTGTGATAATAAACAATATAAGATAAAAAAAAGTTGATAGTTTACATAAAGAGGTTTTAAAAAATTTGTGAATGATTCTGTTACATCTTCAAAAGGTGATTCTGTTGATAATACCACTATTGTTGATAAATGACTCTTTAATAATTTTTCGTTTTCTGGGTTCGATAAAGTATTTATAATATATTCTGTTGCTGCCCTACGAGCATCAGAATCTTCTGATCTTAAACTATAAAAGAATGAAGGTAATGGATCTGATAAATTTGATGAAGGTGACTGCGGAGGTGAATATTCTGAACTATAAGGTGGATCTAAAAATTTTAATTTTAAAATTAATAAAAAATTCTAAATTTAAAGCTATAATGGGTTGTGGTGAAATAAAAAATAAACAAGCTAAAAAACCCAATGAAAAAAGATTGATTATAATTGTGTTTTATTGAAATTTACCTAATGAATATCTTTTATTTGTTTGGAATGGTGATGACGATGAAGATATTATCCATTCTGAGGACTGACTGTTACCAGCAGCCCCATCTACATTTTGCCCTTTACTGCTCATTGCCATACTAATCATTATTTATAAGTTGTATTTGAAAGTAAGTAAATAAAATAAAATAAAAAAAAATTGGTGTTACTAATTTGAAATCCTTTAATTAAACCTGTATAAAATTCTAAATTCTTTTTTCTATATAAATTCTGCAATATTTACTGTTATATTGTTTGGATATTTTGAATATTTAATTTGTTTGAGAATTAGTTTATATATAAAATATAAAAATTTATAAACAAACAAATAAAAACTAGGTTATATATAAAATTATTTTTGTACAAATAGGGTTTGTTTGGTATGTATAGTTATTTTAAAAAAACAAAAAATATAAAATAATATTATTTAATTTAGGCTATATATAATAATTTGTAGTACTGATTATTTTATTGATATTTAATTGTTAACCGATGTTTTTAATTTTTTTTATATACTATATTATTTATTTATTATTATTTTTATTATTACTATTGTTATTTTTATTTATTATTATTATATTATAAAAATTTATTTTTCTTTATTTTTTTATTTTAAAAAAAATATTTATTTTATTATTTTTATTAATTATTATTTAATATATGTTGTTGTGCACACATATATATACATGTATATATTATGATCTAGATATGCAGATCCCCTTTTTTTTAAAACAAAGATAATCTTATTAATAATATTAAAAATATTATTATTTTTATGCGTCTAAAAAAAAAAAAAAAAAAAAAAAAATAAAATTATTTTTGTGTGGCCGTGTGTCTAGTGTCTATAATGAAAAAAAGACAAAACTTTTTTAAAAAAAAAAAAATAATTTAAAAAAAATAAAAAAAAATAATTAAAAAAAATTAAAATAATTTTTTAAAAAATAAAATTAAAAATAATAAAAAAAAAAAGAAAGAAAAAAAATAAAAAATAATAATAATAGATAGCCTATTTTAGATCTATATTTATTTTTTAAATTTTATTTCTTTTTAATATATTTATATTTATAAAAAAAAAAAATTTTAAATAATAAAAAAAAAAAAATTAAACCCCACACACACCAACCCAAACTATTTTTACATAATAGTTTTTTAATATAAATTTAAATTTGGAATGTTGTGGATCAGGGCATTAAACGAAAAATTGGTTATTACCTTATAACTATTATTTGTTTTAGTAATTATAATAAAAAGGATGAATTACAAGATTAAATTGGAATAAAGTTAAGAAAAAAAAAAAAGTACAGAAAAAAAAAAAGAAAAATTATAATTACTATACTTTTTATATTTATTTGTTTTTATAACTAAAACAAGAAATCATATTATGTACTTTTAAACTTTATTTTTTATCCTATCCTATAATTTACTTTCTGTTTATTAAAAAATAAAAATTAAATAAATCTATTTTTAAAACACAGAAAGTGTGAAATATAAAAAAAAAAAATAAAAAAAAAAAATAGGAAATAGAAATAAAAATAATTTTCTTTTATGATAATAAAAAGAAAATTGAACTATTATTACTATTATAATTATTTATTTTATTACTATTTATAATTTAATGTAATATCGCACAATATGTGTCATTTATTTTATCTTTTATAATTATTTTTGAGGAGGCTGGGGTTTTTTTAACCCATTATAATAATGTTTTTTTTTTTATTAATATTTACAATATGACACACATTAATTATATATTCCTATTTAGAATAAAATTTTATTTCTAAAAATTGTAATATGTAATAAAAATGATTTTTCTTTATTTTTAAAAGGAAATAGAGGAAATAAAAATAAAATAAACCAAGTTTAAATTTATTACTGTTATTTATTACATTTTCTATTAATGGTATAATAATGAGGTTTAGTCCCCTTTAATTATTTTGGAACCATTATATATATATATATAAAAATAAAACATATTTGATAAAAAGAAGAGTTTTAATTTAAATACAAATTAATTATATATACCATTAGCTGTAAATATTTATATCTGGCACTTTTTTTATTATTGTATAGTTAATTTTCTAATTACTGACTACTATTTAAATTAACTTTTTTTTTTTTTTATATTTTTTCTCTTTTTTTTATTATTTTTATTGTTTTTTATTTTTATTATTTTTTTTATTTTTATTTTCTGATTCGAGCTAATATATATCTTTCCTCCATGCATGTCAATAATATGTGGGTTAATGAGATTGTGAGTGTGTTGTTTATGTGCTATTTTTATGTATTTGTGTGTTTGTTAATTTGGGTGTGTTTTTATGTGTGTTTTTTATTAACATGTTCAAAAAGCGGAGTAATTTTTTTTTTTTTTTTTTCATATTAATTTGAACAGAATTCTGAAATATAATTTGTAACAACAAAAATAAAAGAAAAAAAAAAAGAAATTGAAAATGAAAATTGAATAAATATTTAAAAAAAATAATTACATCTAAAATATTACATTTAATATTTATTGTTGAGAAGTGTTTCTTTATTCCAAAAGGTTGCAAAATAATTTGAAACCTGGGTTTATTAATTATTTTTTTTTATTTTTTTTCACAAAATATATTTGATTTTAAATATTTTTTTTTTTGTTTTAAATTTATTTTTTTTATTATTTTTTTTGTTATTTTTTTTTTGCCACCCCCTCCAATTTTTGAATATCCACAAAGGAAATTTCAAAAAGACGGAAAAATTAATTTTTATTATAATTATCTTTTCGAATTGGAAAATGAATTATTATAATAAAAACAAAACAAAACAAAAAAAATTAAAAAATAAATTAAAAGAAAATAGTTTTATGTTTTTTTTGCAAAATTTTATTTAATTTTTATTTAAAAAACTTTATTGATAATCAAAAAAAAAAAATTTGAATTTCTGGAACTCAAAAATAAAAATTAC